TTCTAGGGGTCATGTATCTTCTATACAGAGTAAACTCGATTCTTAGAAAGAAAAACCTAGAGGCCTCAAAGTAGCCTACACAAAAACTCTAATAGATCGGAGAAAACTCAACTTCCAAAATCAAAACCCAGCAGGTTCAGAGTTCCTTACAAAAATGACTCTGGTTTACAGAGAATCGGTGTAATCTACTATGAAAACGTGGGGCCTGTTTGCAACATCAAGTTGAAGCACCACCTAGTCTGGATGAAGAGAGAAGGCGGAGTATACAGTGTAAGATATGACCTTGATCCCGGCTGGAACTGCTACACCAATTTGAAGGTGGGGAAGAAACGGCTCTCATATCTGCTGCTTGAAAGCGAGAGTGATGGAGTGCAAAAGGAGGCGTTGTCGTGTCTTAGACGTACACCACCATGCGGTTTCTGTAGGGTGACGAGGTTCAGAGCAGTATGGAAAGGCCTGAATGTAGGTGGAAGATAACATTGCAGCCAGTCTTGGAAGACACGAAGGAGAGAAGGGAGATGCTGCTGGTTGGAGAGGAGGAACGTGTCCCTAAGGTGCTGAATGAGCCACACAGAAGGTCCAGCAACTATGCTGGACAGTAGGGCGCCATGGAGGATAGGGAAGTTGCTTCCTTACACATATTGTCAATTTTATTTTTCTATCACTGCTACTACTTGCATGACTAAAACAGGTTGTGGTTGCACATTAGAGATGGAAAAAAAGTGCAAAGCTTGCAATAGCAGTGTGCCAGCCGGGAATCGAACCCGGGTTTGCACCGAACTCATTGCAGGGTGCTATGTTACCTCTTTGTTAACGATTAGTAAGTGTACAATGGATACAAGGCAAATCCAGAGGCCTAGTGTAAGGAATATGCAAGTTAGACCTATAGTGAGGCCTACCAATAGGCCTCTGTGACATCTAAGTGGTCCTCTCCCAAGTAAGCAAAGTCAGCAGCTGATAGAGAAGTCACATCGGATGGTGTGTGGTTGACGCCCTCGGTAAAACGAATTTGTGCACGACGACAAACAGTTCGAGCCTGCTCACGCTGGTGGACCAGAGAATTCCATTTGTAGAAGTTGGTCTCAAACAGCTGGCGAAGAGTATCTGTGGCGCCACTCAAGTCGCAAAGTTGTGAAGCCCCTTTGCGGCTGCATTGGCGAAGGAAGTTGTTAAACGAAGAGCCGAAGCAGCCGAAAGTTTCAATGACAAGGGGAAAGAGTTTGACGTCTGGACGGTCACGAAGTGCTGCAGCATAGTGGGCTGTCTTCTCACTTTCACAAGTGGCTGCTGCTGAAGTGACCACCGTAGCTGCGCTAGAGTGCGGAAATCCCTTTTGAGGATCGGCGACGGAAACATCCAAGGCCCAGGTGGTACCAGAGCTGACGTCGCGGCACGTGATGTCTGTTCGGCGGCCAGGCAGGAGACGCTAGTGTTCCATTTGCGCAAAGAACCCAAGCTCCAAGGCAATGCGATGAACTTCACGCTTGATTGCGTCGTGTACCTTGGTAGGCTCGTTGTTGCTAGGGCAGCGAAGGACGTGAGAATGGATAGAAGGATAAGTGAATGGGGAGTTGCAGGTGCAGGTGTGGGAAGATGAAAGGTGAGGAATAGGAAGGCCTAGGCAGATAGCCGCTGCAATGCGCCACTCGGTCTCTGAAAGCTGCATGTGCGGGGAGGATGGAGCCACAGTGAGCCAGTCACCTGCATGCCGGCCCTGCAAAGAGGTTAGGCGAGCAAGGCGAAGCGGGGACGTTACTGTGGCTCGAATCTTCTCCAGCAGATCTGCTTCGAGGTGTTGGGAGAGGTGAGTAAAGAGTTTAGGAGGGTAGCCCGATTGAAGCACAGACCATGACGGAAAGCGATCACGAATGTTTTGGGGAAGCATGGTCATGGGAGATGCGATTGAAGAATCGAGGTGGTTAATGGAGTCTGTGGTAATGTAAGGGCGAAAAGAGGAGCACCATCGGTGATGAAGTGGGTGGATAAGATCGAAACTGTCTGCGCCAAGCTGCAGAGGTAACCGAGAGGGGCGATGGATGCAGAGCTGCGAATGCCGAAGCCACCCAAGCGGATAGGGAGCGAGGCTTGGTGTCGGGCCGATGTGGACTGTTCAGAGTTCGGATTCCAGTACTCGGAGCCCAAGAGCAAAGAGAAGTGGCTGAGAATGGTGCTGTTCCATAAGGAGAGTAGCTCTTGGATTTCAGGAAAAGGTGTGACAGTGCGGAGGAGGAAAGAAGGCCGGGCAGTGATGCATAAGGAAAGGATCCGTGAGGCAATCTGTGGGTCCTGCAGTTGATGCAGTAAGGGGAGGGAGGAAGTGAAAGAATCGAGTTTGTCACGAACTGTAGAGATGATGTAACCGTCTGAGCCGGTAGGAACGCCTGCGACGGTGAGACCGTTAGCAGCAATGGAAATGCCAGGGGGCGGAATGCAATGTTCGAGCAAGTCCATAGGGGCCCATAGAGAGCACTGGCTATTCTACCACTAGACCACTAGCACGCTAGATGAAAAGTGGATCTGAACAAGTGTTTTATGGTTTGCTACCTACACGATCTTCCGTTTCAGCAAACACTCAACACTACAAGTTTGGAACACATTTTGGCTTATTCGATTGCCATTACTGCTGCATCATCTACCATGGGCCGATGGTTGGTGAGAGCTGCCATTGTTCTTTTATCCATCTTCAGCAGATCCTCAATGGGACACCCCATTGTCATTGCTGCTTCGTCATCTGGTGCTTGGTTAAAAAACAGTCGCTCCAATCACCAGCTTTCTTCATTTATCCGCTTCAGCAGGTCCTCAATTTGACACTCCATCGCCATTACTGCTGAGTCGTCTACCATTGCCGCATCACTGCCAGATACGAAAAAAGAGGTGTTTCACAGGTGGGAGAGAGTGGAAGAGAGGGGAGGAGGGGGTGGGAGACAGGGAAAGGAGGCCAAGGGAGGAACGCTGGATGCGTCAGTGGCTATACGGATGGGAGCAGGCATGCACTGTTTACAACTTTCCATGTGCACAAAAAACAAAAGCTCTGATGGCAAACCAGCAGAATGCAGCACGACATGGTGTGTTTTTTTTAGGCGCCATTAAAAACAAAGACTCCAATGGCACACAAAGTTTCAGCAAGGCTTAGCAGGATGCAGCAAGGTGCCTTCTGAGTCGACTCAAAAGTCACCTCTAATAGTACACCAAAATTCAGCAAAACTCAGCAGCAAGACATGGTTCGTGCACAAACCAAGGGTTCTAAAAACGCACCTGTTCGGTACAGACACATGATGCAGCATATGCGTTGATATTTAGCCTCTAAAATAGCACATCTGTTCTGTGCAGGTTCTTGTTCCTGCACTGCATATTTAGCAGCCTAAGAACCATGACACGCACACCAAACAAGGGATGAAAGTCCGCACCTGCATGTAGGTTCATGATACACTGCATGATACAGAGCTGAGCGCACCACATACAGAGCTGAGCGCACCACATACAGAGCTGAGCGCACCACATACAGAGCTGAGCGCACCACATACAGAGCTGAGCGCACCACATACAGAGCTGAGCGCACCACATACAGAGCTGAGCGCACCACATACAGAGCTGAGCGCACCACATACAGAGCTGAGCGCACCACATACAGAGCTGAGCGCACCACATACAGAGCTGAGCGCACCACATACAGAGCTGAGCGCACCACATACAGAGCTCTCCCCACATACACTGTTAACTTTTTCAGGCGCCTCTAGAATATACTTCAAACAAATCTGTTCCGTACGAGTTCACGTTCCTGCACTGAGTTTTAAGCAGCCTAAGAACCATGGCTTGCGCACTATGTGAGGACTCGGTGGCTGCACCTGCTGTGTATGCAGCAGTGCTGAGGACTCAGCACTGCTGGGTCAGGATGCAGTGCTGAGAGCACCACGTGAACACCACTCTGTAAAATACCGCAACTCCTCAATGAGCATGTAATCTATTGCATCCCCACTTACAGTAAGACTAAACAACATGGCATGCATGCGCACCAATAACGAGATGGAAGGATTGTGTATGGATCACGATGTCATGCTGATAGAACCTAGTCTGTAAGAGGCGACTTTTGAGTCGACTCAAAAGTCACGAGATGGAAGGATCGTGTATGGATCACGATGCAACGCTGATAGAGCCTAGTCTGTAAGAGTAAGGGCTAAGCAGAAACTGAAGGCCGCACCTGTCGTGTATCGAATCACGATGCAGTGCTGAGCACACCTAGTGTGTGAAGGCTAAGGGCTCAACACAGACTCAAAGGGCGCACCTGTTGTGAATGGGTTCGTGGTCCAGTGGTGAGCGCACCACATACAGAGCTCTTCCCACCATGTCCCTCACGTGCACGGGACCAAGAGTGCGGCTGTCTAGGGCTTCCTGGGAGGGTGGGGACAGGGAGGAAAGGACTGATGAAGGCCTAAGGGGTTCTTTTGAGACGTCTCAAAACACTTCTTCAAACACATACATTCTTCCTGGGAGGGTGGGGACAGGGAGGAAAGGAGGAGGAGGATAAGGCAAGAAAAGGAGAAGAGTTTTCAGGCAAGAGGCAGAGAAGGAGGAGGAGCTTCAAGTTCGGGGTGCTGTTCTTTCAATTCTCATGTTCTCGGGACGAAGAGTGCGGCTGTCTGGGGCCTCCTGGAAAGGAGAGGAAATAGATGGAGTAAATGAAGGGGTAAAGATTGTGGGGAAGAGACAAGGCAGTGAAAAAGTAGGAGGTATGCGGCTGTATGCGGCCTCCTGGGAGGAGGAGACAGGGAGGAAAGGTGAGGAGGAAGGGTTTTCAGGCACAAGGCAGTGAAGGAGTAGGGGGGTTCGGCGTTGCTGTCCTCTCAAGTCTCACGTGCACGGGACCAAGAGTGCGGCTGTTTAGGGCCTCCTGGGAGAGAGAAGAAATAGATAGAGGAGAATGCACGCTGAGTAAGAGAAAAGAAGAGACAGGTGACGAAATCTGGGCAGAGGCTGCTGCCCTCACTTTTGAGTGTGGCTGTTTACAGCCGCCTGGGAGAGAGGAGATACAGACAGAGAGAAGGGGGAGGAGCTTTAAGCAAGAGAAACGGCAGAAATAAAGGCAAGCACGGAGTTTGCACAGGCTCCCGCCACGCTCGGGCCAAGGCGGCCTGCAAAGCATCGCTTGCTTTTGCAGAGCACGTGCAAGCACCACCTGCCTTGGCAGCGACAGCAGCATATGCAGTGCAACATGTGAACTCATCACCCATGCAGGAACAGCAGCACTGGTGCAACGCAACTACCGAGTTGGTGGCACCTAGCAGCCAAACACCCTGAGCATAAGTGAAGGAAAGGAACAGCACAAGACCCTTGTCAACTTGCATTCAGCATACCCCTACTTTTGCCCCTTCCAGCAACTCTATTATGCACAGATACCTGCAACAATAGCTGCCCTACTGTTGCCCTTTCAAAGCACCCTCAAGCATACCTTTGCAGGAACAGCCGGGTCGTCTGCAAGCACCCAAAACTGGTCCTTCTCTATCCGAAACGGCTCATCCGACGGCTGAGATGACACCATCTCGTCTCCAGGAATGGCCGCGACTCGCCGAAAGATAACCGGAAATGAAGTGCGTTCTGCCTTCGCCTCGGCAGTGGCTTTTGAGTCGGAACGTTTTGAGTCAGGACCTGTGTTGGCTTTTTGAGTTGACTCAAAACTGGGTGCTTTCGCCTTGGCTGTGGCGTTCGAGTCGGACATGGCTGGTTTAGCGCCCGCAGCAGCAGGAGAAGCAGAAGCAGGGGAAGCAGCTTCAGAAGCAGAGGCAGAGGCAGCAGGAGAAATAGAGGCAGGAGAAGCAGAGGCAGGAGAAGCAGAGGCAGGAGAAGAAGAGGCAGGAGAAGCAGAAGCAGGAGAAGCAGAGGCAGGAGAAGCAGAAGCAGGAGAAGCAGAAGCAGGAGAAGCAGAAGCAGGAGAAGCAGAAGCAGGAGAAGCAGAGGCAGGAGAAGCAGAAGCAGGAGAAGCAGAGGCAGGAGAAGCAGAAGCAGGAGAAGCAGAAGCAGGAGAAGCAGAAGCAGGAGAAGCAGAAGCAAATGCAGCAGAAACACGTGTGGGGTGGACATGGAACCCCACAATGTCTCCAACGGAAACGGTACTGCCATGGGGAGAGAGCAAGGGGGAGTTGGAAAAGGTTTATAGAAAAGGCGGGTCTGAGTCGGCTCAAAAGAAACACGTGCTGGGTCGACTAGGAACCCCACCATGCCTCCAACGGAAATGGTTCCGCCCCGGGGGAGAGCAAGAGAACATTGGGAAGGGCTTATAAAAACCCGGGAATAAGGTAGGCCTTGGAACCCCACCATACCTCCAACGGAAATGGTTCCACCCCGGGGGAGAGCAAGAGAACATTGGGAAGGGCTTATAAAAACCCGGGAATAAGGTAGGCCTTGGAACCCCACCATGCCTCCAACGGAAATGGTTCCGCCCCGGGGGAGAGCAAGGGGGAAATGAAAAGGGCCTATAAGGAGGGTAGGCGTTGACAAGCTTTGAGTCGACTTGGAACCTCACCACGTCTTAAATGGAAATGACAGTGCCACGGGATCAGACAGGCACAATTGTGAAGTGAGATCATGTCGGCCGACGATGGAGTCAACAGCAGTTTTAATTGCTGTGGCAACAGCAGTTTTAACTGCTGTGGCAACAGCAGTTTTAATTGCTGTGTCAACAGCAGTTTTAATTCCTGTGTCAACAGCAGTTTTGATTTCTGTGTCAACAAAAGTTTTAATTGCTGTGGCAACAGCAGTTTTAATTGCTGTGGCAACAGCAGTTTTAATTGCTGTGGCAACTACCACATAAAGAAAACAAGTCTATGTTTGAGGCGCCTCAGAAATAAAGAATTAAACAGCTTTGAGACATTGCCACGACTTCAAACAGGTAGCGGCACACTCACTGCCAATGGGCGGCACACTTACTGCCAAACGGGCGGCACACTCACTGCCGAATTGGCGGCAAACTCCCTGACGAATGGGCGGCAAACTCACTGACAAATGGGCGGCAAACTCACTGACGAATAGGTGGCAAGCTCACTGACGAATGGGCGGCAAACTCACTGACGAATGGGCGGCAAACTCACTGCCGAATGGGCGGCAAACTCACTGCCGAATGGGCGGCAAACTCACTGACGAATGGGCGGCAAACTCACTGACGAATGGGCGGCACACTCACTCCCAAGTGGGCAGCAACAGAAACCGGTAGAGCACCCACTCGTCCTTCATCCCCCTTATAGTCGGCTTCATGGATTCGTCTCGTAACAAAGAAGGCTGCAGATATGTCATATACGATTTCTCGTGCTGCACGATCTTGTTCAAAGTCCTCACTAGCTTGCCAATGGGGGGGAGCTCTCCTGGATGCTGCTTCATATGGGTCTGCAAGGGAATCAGGCATGGGAAGTGGGGGCAAGAGGGCGGCGGTCAGTACGATGTGAGTTGATGCCTCGTGCTGCACAATCCTGTTGAGAGTCCTCACAAGCTTGGTGATGGGAGGGAGCTCCCCTTGATGCTGCTCCATGTGGGTCTGCAATCAGGCAGGCAGAAAGGATACAGCTTTTTCAGGGCCAATTACCCTGCACAAAGCCGTTCATATGAAGCACTTCTGAGACACAAACTTAGTCGCACTGTAATGAATTTCGAGAATTCTCAAAACTCAGGCCAGCGCTCACACCAGCGCTCAAACCAGCGCTCACAGCAGCACTCACAGAAGCACTCATACCATATCTCACGTGCACGAAAGCTGTAAATGGAGCACTTGCCTTCTGCCCTGGTGCTCACCAGAATACCCCCCAGCACTCTCTCACGCCATAACTCACGTGCACGTGCACGAAAGCCGTGCATGGAGCACTTGCCTTCTGCCCCGAATGTTGGTTACCATCACCCACAGCACCAGTAACAGCAAGAATCTCTCACACCACCTCTCACTGCAGCACTCACACCACCTCTCACACCACCTCTCACACCACCTCTCACACCACCTCTCACTGCAGCACTCACTGCAGCACTCACTGCAGCACTCACTCGCACGAGCACGAAGCTGCACAGGGAGCACTTCTGAGTCACGTATCCGCATTGAGTCGACTTTTGAGATTCCTCACTCACACCATCACTCGCACCATCACTCGCACCATCACTCACACCCAGCTTTCATACCAGCACTCACGCGCACGATCACGAAGCTGTAGAGGGAGCACTTCTGAGCCACGTATTTCAGCCGCATCAGCCACGAGGCCATCGCGCCGCTCCACTCCGCTCCGCTCTCTCGGAACTGAACCCTCCTATTACTAGTACTGGCTTAGCTGCTCGTCAGGTGGTTACACGCCGTCTGGTGGTTACCAGTCCTCTCCGCTCGCTCGGGCGGAACTGAACCCTCCTACTACTGGAACTGGCTAAGCTGCTCGTCTTTTGAGGCGCTTCAAAAGACGCTCAGAGCCCGCACGAAAGTGACGCTTCCTGTTACTAGAGTTGGCTTAGCTGCTCGTCAGGTCAGCACGTCTGCTGGTTACCCGTCGTCTGGTGGTTACATCTGGATTGGTGGTTACGCGTCCGTCTGGTGTTTCAAGACGCCAGCGACTGAATGAAATCGGTCAGTGCTATGGCCTTCGAACCGCCTTTATGGACCAGGGAAACAGCAACAGTGGGCGGCGATACTGACGGCAAAGCAGACGGGGTGCACGACAATACGGTACTATCACGGTCAAGCCTAAGCACTGTGTCTGCGAATACTGAGCGACGCGAGCAGTACGACAATACTGACAGCGAATCCTCAAAGTTGGCTGCAGACGCTTGCGAAGCAAATCTGGCGATCGGGTGATGTGATGAATCTATTCGTGAGAAAACGGGGCAGCGCGGATTCGAGACTACTCCCGGTGGCTAATCAGTCAGCCAAAACAGTTCGATAGGCGGAGAGGGATAAGGTGCCCTAGTGGTAGGTACCTATGTGGGTCGGACGGCTGGAGGAGCCATTTTTACATACAATCTGTAAGAACTAGTAAACAGCGGAATGTGACCAGGGGTTCTCGAGGGCGTGTATAGGATACCCTCTAGAGTAGCTGTGGCGGTACACTACAGTTCTTTCTGAAGTTTGTGCGGCGAAGCGCCTAACAAAATTTTGGTAACACAAGTCACGAAGCTTCGCAAATGGGAAACAGAAAATGGCGAGATTCGTGAAGGCTACTGACGCTGTCGCTGGAGAACCCTTGGTTACTCAGATTGTCGACACCTGGTTACCACCTGGTAGTGCCACGGCGGAACAGAGCCATAGGTGTCGCGGTGTTTGTTCGGTGCTGGCACAACTGCTAGGTTGGAATTTGGAAAGGTGACTATGTCACTGGAGGTGTTTGCTCTGGGTTTCTAGGATGTATTTGTGGTAGCGTAGGGCAGGTCTAGGCCGCGTAGACTGAGCGAGTCGCCGACCTGCGAGCCTTTCAATAGTCGACGGCGTAAGCCGAGCGAAGAACAAACCTCCGAACAAATTAATTTGTGACGACACCGAGCGATCCGGGAGGAATGCGTAGGGTGGAGATAGAAAGAAGTGACAGGATTGCCACGTCTCGCTGAGTCAGCGAGAGGGTCTGGAAGCTGAGTGAGTGCGGCGGTGCTGCGGGAGAGAGGAGGAGCGGCGAATCGCGAGCGAATGGGAGTGGGGAGCGGAGAACGGGAGTCACGGTAGGAGCTACTGACGGAGAGCTTTTAGAAATAACAAGGGAGGGAGTGACGGGTTATGTTACAATACCACCTGAGTCTGATGGCACTGTAGCGGAGCAGCCATATTGCGGAAATCAGAGGATCTGGTCGAGGAATGAAGTGGGTGCGTCGCGACTCGTGAAGGCTACTAGTAGGAGGCGAAGCCTAGTTCCTCCTAGTCGTAGAGCGCGCGACCCTTTTGAAAATTCTCAAAAGAGCGACGCGCGACAGAAGCAACATTCTGAGAATACGGCGACGGGATGTAGGCCGACTGTGAGTCAACGAAAGCGTGACGAGGACTGAAAGGGTTCTACATCCAAGAAAGGTATACATGCAGAGATACTATAAGGGCTGTTTCCCGGAGATACTATAAGGGCTGTTTCCCAGAGATACTATAAGGGCTGTTTCCCGGAATCCGTCTGTAAATACTTATTGTTGCGGGCTAGGTCGTAGGAGTGCTAGCAGGAATCTAGCTCCGCGACGTCTAGGTCTAGCAGGAACTTAGGACCAACTATACTAATCGGACTACGCCACTACGCCACCCAAGTTACACAATGATCGCTTTATACTAGTTCCTACTAAAGCTTAGTACATCCACCACCCAACACGTCAACTCCTGTGCATACTGCTGCTACACGACAACGTACTACACCCAACCCAACCACACTCGCGCCGCGTCCTCGTTATCCCCCCCCGTTACAATCCCACTCCATCTCAATGGGTCCTCTCCGCGATCTACAGTACCTTCTCGAACCTTCCTCACTCGCGCTCGTCGCAACCGCGCTCGCCGTCGTTCTCCTTTCCGCGTTCCGCGCGCTCGCGCACGACCGCGAATCCGAGCGCCACCGCGACTTGTCCGCTTCCGCCATAACCCTAGACGCGAACCGCGCGCTGCTGCTCCCGCTGGCGAGCTCCGCGTCGCTCCTGCTCATGTTTTACCTCTTCGCGACGGTTTCGCAGCTGGTTACCGCGTTCGCCGCCGTCGCGTCCGCATCCGCGACCTGCTTCGCCTTGTCCCCGTTAGTAGCGTGGTTGAATACGTCGCTGGGGCTGCAGGATCCGTTAATTACTGTACATTTCCCGTCGTTTTCGCTATGGAATGGCCAACGCAGCAAAAGCAGCAGCAGCAGCAGCGTCAGTGGTAGCAGCAACAGCAGCAGTAACAGGGGTGAGGTTGGCAGTTCATTACTAGGCGACAGCGTGAGAGGAAGAGAGAGCAGAAACGGCAGCGAAGGAAACAACAGGAACAGATCAAATTCTTCCACTGGCAAAACCACCACCAGCGCCACCACAACCACTACTGGCAGCACAAACAGCAGCACCAGCAACACCAGCAACACCAATACCCCCAGCTCTGACAGCAGCAGCAGCACGGTGTTGGGGGCAGTGACTCGCACGCAGCTGCTGCTGGGAGGGCTGAGCGCTGCTCTGGTGCTGTCCTGGCTGGTGTCGGGGCACTGGCTGCTCAACAACGCACTCGGTGCGGCGATCTGCGTGGCGTTTGTCAGCCACGTGCGGCTGCCAAATGTGAAGGTGAGATGGTAATTGTGTGGTATGCACTCAGGCACAGGTGAGGGTGGTGGCGGCAGCAGCAGCACGGTGTTGGGAGCGGTGACGCGCACGCAACTTACTGCTGGCAGGGCTGAGCGGAGCACTGGTGCTGAGTTGGCTGGTGGTGTCGGGGCACTGGCTGTTGAAAAATGCACTCGCTTTTGTCAGCCACGTGCGGCTGCCAAATGTCAAGGTGAGACAGTATTGCTGTTCATGGTATTGCTGTTCATGGTATAATAATCAGTGTTGACAGTGCTGGTGGTGGCGTGGCTGGTGTCGGGGCGCAGGCTGCTCAATAACGCACTCGGCGCTGCTATGTGTGTTGCCTTTGTCAGTCACGTGCGGCTGCCAAATGTCAAGGTGAGGCAGTAAAGCTGTAGCAACAGGATGACAAGGTAACAGTGCTGATGGGGTACCGAGTGGAATGCTGGTCTGGTGGTGGCGTGGCTGGTGTCGGGGCACTGACTGCCCAATAACGAACTTGGTGCTGCCATTTTGTTGCTTTTGTGAGCCACGTGCGAGGTGACTTTTGAGTCGACTCAAAAGTCACTGACTGCCCAACTACGAACTCGGTTTGTGCAGCCATCTTTGTTGCTTTTGTCATGTGCGCCTGCCCAACGTGAAAGTGAGACAGTAACATTGTTTGTAACCGGTAACAGGATTAGTGCTGGTGCTGAGCTGGCTGGTGTCGGGGCATTGGCTGCTCAATAACGCACTCGGTGCTGCCACTTTGTTGCTTTTGTGAGCCACGTGCGCATGCCGAATGTGAAGGTGAGGTAGTAACCGTGTGGTGGCATCAGGACAAACAACAGGGTAACAGGGTATTATTGCTATGCTGGCTGCTCAACAATGCCCTTGGTGCCGCCACCTGTGTGGCGTTTGTCAGCCACGTACCACTCCCCAACGCCAAGGTGAGGTGAGTTAGTATTGTCGTTATGGCGTGGTAATGGCGAGTCTCCCGTTTCATCACAATGAAGCATGCGACCTTATCCAAGCCTGAATGCATGATTTCTTTCAGGGGCAATGGAACTAATTTTTTTCGCACCCAGCCTTGCCTGATTCCTTTTGGAGAATTCAGTAGCCAGCAAACACGAATATTTGTCGTTGTATAACATTTCGAGCCAGGTAGCATGCCGGAGCAGACTCAGAAAATTTGGAAGGCTGAGAGTGCAGCAGCAGTTCCCCAAGCTAGTTTCACACCCGCAACCTCTCCCACTCACTCGCTCACTCGGTCCCATCTTTCACCCACTTTCTCCCACCCTCTCCCTCCCATGTTTTCCCCTCCTGCTCCCATTGCCCCACCTGCCTTCTCTTCTCTCCCTCTCCAGGTGTGCGCCCTCCTCCTCGCCTGTCTATTCGTGTACGACATCTTCTGGGTGTTCTTCTCACACCCACACACACACTGTGCACTCCTCAACCCCCTCTCACACTCATCCCATCTCAGGTGTGTGCGCTCCTCCTGGCGTGTCTATTTGCGTACGACATCTTCTTGGTGTTCTTCTCACACCCACACCCATCCCACCCATTCATACCCCTCCCTTCTTCAGGTCTGCGCCCTCCTCCTGGCGTGTCTATTCTTGTACGACATCTTCTGGGTGTTCTTCTCACACCGCTTCTTTGGAGCCAACGTGATGCTCTCAGTCGCCACGCAGCACGCCCACAACCCCGCCCACTCCGTCTCCCAACCAGTTGCCCACTCAGTTGCCCACTTGCTCCCATCTTCCCCCCTCGTTCTCCCACCTCTCCCCTCCATAGTTCCCCCTTCCGCCCCACCACCTGCCTTCTTTTTCCCCCTCTTTCTTCAGGTCTGCGCCCTGCTCCTGGCGTGTCTATTCTTGTACGACATCTTCTGGGTGTTCTTCTCACACCGCTTCTTCGGAGCCAACGTGATGCTCTCAGTCGCCACGCAGCACGCCCACAACCCCGCCCACTCTGTCGCTCACTCTCTCCACCTGCCCTCTGCTGTAGCAAAATCGATCGTGAGGGAGATCGAACTTC